CTGTCAAATTAGCAACGGCAGCATTTAAGCTGCCGTTTTTTATTTATTTACATACTGATTCTGATTTCGTACGAGTGTTTTTATGAATCACCCGTCCTTAAGGGGTTAAAGAAGGTTTAACTCATTGTATCAAATCAAGAATTATAACAGCGAAAAATCGAGAAAAGGCATAACATTAAAAAAAGAAAGAAAGAAAGAAAGAAAAGAAACCTTCACGAAAGATTAAAAAAAAAAATTCTCGGAAATAATCAAAAATGGAATTGTGTTCAGATAGTTTAGTTTACTGATTCAAACTAAATTCATTTAACAATTTCAGTTCACACTGAGAAAAAAAGTCTGGTCAAATCTAACCGAATATGGTAACATTTATCGTGTTTCTAGTTCTATGGAAGCAACAAAAAGCACGATACCTATCTAGTGTTTTGAACGTTAAAATTTTATGCAACCATAATATGGTGCAAAGTTAGATCATGTTATTGTGTTTTTTAAACTAGATTGTAACTTAAATTTAAACATAGTTTAGTTTGATAAAGAAAGCAAAATTTTTCTGAAAAAAGTAGAAATTAATAAAATTGCATCATATTATGGTTCAAAATATCTTTCAATCGTCGGACAAATTTTTCTGATGATGCACTTGCGATTTTTTCTACAAAATATGTCCGATTTGACATTTTCGTTCATCTGTTAATATTGTTATTTTTCTTTTTACTTAAATTATTAGCTATCCTTATTATTAATGACTTTACAAAAGTTTACAAACTAGACTAAACTTTTCTACTTACTGGTATGTGACCCTTTATGAGAAAAGTAAAATACTTGGGAATAAAGAGTTAGTAATATCCATAAGCATTAATTCAATTTCTAATGAATGGTTACAGGCAATCAAAGTGTCTAAAAGAAGCACAAAATACTATTTTACTGATAAAAAAGCGGCGAATATACGGAGAAAAAGCATACTGGTAAAATTGCCGTAAGTTATGGTAAAGATATTCCCGCTAAATAAAAACATAATTCTAGTAATAAAACCAATATATATAAGATTTATGAACTATTCATATGGTAACGGTTTACCGGAAATTCTGATTTCCAAAATTATAATTCTTATTACCGTACATTTAATAAAAATATCAAACAGTAAATTTAACTGAATAAATGTCTTTTATGCCATGTTCTAACATATCATGATACAAATACTAAATTTTACTTCGTTTACTAAATTTTAACGCATATTATAAAACAATATTCTATTTGCCAAAATTATTACAAAACCAAATTCAAAATCAAACTTTAATGGTTAAACACGTATCAAAATTTCTGAAAGTGCAAACAAAACATGAAAGAAAACCTTTATTCATTCTACTTGACTAGCTTTTTATCTAATTATCAAAGGGGGTGACTTCTAATATACTAATTAGTTAGCGCAGAAGATGATTTAAATTACGAAATATCATACACAAGAGCGCATCTTTTCTGATTAAACTTTTTTTTTTACGACAGATTATGATTCTTTACCCAAAATAACAGCAACCTAAGATAGTTTAGACAGGAGATAGTTTAGTCAGGAGAGGGGTCGAAATTTTCGACCCCTTAATGTTAATTTTACTTCTCGTATTATTTCCAGAACATTTCAAGCGAATTGGAAATTTTTTTGCACAAAATAATAAAATTCATTCATCCAAAGATAATTCCACTTAAAAAACAATATTTAATAATTATTTTGTTTAATAATAAACGAAAAAAATTGAATTGCTAGAAATACATATTTTTACATCACCTTATAGATTGTAATTTTGCATGGCAAAATGAAAGATCTGAACTAAATCGGTCGAATGGTTCCTGAAAAATCGAATTTTAAATATCTGACTTTTGAGAATACTAATGGCCCCTTTAAAAATATTGGTTTGAAACTTAGAGCTACTATTACTTTTCACTCATCAACCCTTGTTTGTTGAATAAAGGAATAAAGGAAAGACCTTGAAACTTTTGTTTAAAGAATAGAAAAACTGAATTCAGGTAAACGTAGAGTAAAGCTTGAAGTTTCAAGCTCTGAAATTTTTTTTCAAAAATCGAAATGCAAACATATTTTGGCTAAAAAACACAGGATTATGCATTGAGGAAGGAATCCTGTTATCATTGTTTGCATTCTGATATTTCGAATTTTTTCTCAACTTTTGATACGTCATGGTTCACTTTAAGTGTTTATGAACTCACTTTTTTCTTAACTTTCAATTACAAATGAAGTTGAAACAGAATTTGCCATGAAAAATTTCTCCCGTATTATAGATTCTTCTTAAAAAAAGATGTTGAACTGTTGAACAAAAAGATGTTGAAAAAAAGATGTTGATTTAAAAGACATTTATGTTTTAAATTTCATACTCCTTTTTTCATTAATTCTTCTTGATTCACAATTAATGATATTTGAATTTTTGAAAAAAGGATACTTTTTTCATTAACTGTTCTTGATTCACAATTAATGATATTTGAATTTTTGAAAAAAGGATACTTTTTTCATTAGCTGTTCTTGATTCACAATTAATGATATTTGAATTTTTGAAAAAAGGATACTTTTTTCATTAACTCTTCTTGATTCACAATTAACGATATTTGAATTTTTGAAAAAAGGATACTTTTTTCATTAACTCTTCTTGATTCACAATTAATGATATTTGAATTTTTGAAAAAAGGATACAAACTAATTTTTTTAATTGTAGTGCACCCTAAGGACTTCTTTCACGAAACTCTTGTGGTCCGTAGACCGCCAATTAGAACCAATGTTTCAGAAAGTTCGAGATAGATTATGTTTTGGAAATTTCCAACTGAAGAGCTTATTGTGGATTACATGGCCAGATCTGATTTAATACTGAGTGAATGATATTTCCTGCGAATGAAATTTCTCAGTTTTTAATAAAGTACTCGTATTTATTAAAATTTTCTTATAAAATTTTATTGATATTTTTTAAAAAATAAATCGTAGTTTTAAAAGCTAAGAAATTTACCTTCTTCGAGAGTTATGCTTTTTCGCCTCCAATTTTTAAAGACATTATAGTTATATTCGCATGATAGCAGGCCAGGTGGCCGAGCGATTAGCGTGCCCGGTTGCAAAACCAAAAGCTACGGGTTCGAATCCAGCTCAGGGCATGGGTGTTTCTCTGTATATGTTGTTCCGTGTCAATGTGGCCCACCCTATGAGCGGGTATCCTTGGCAGTGTGGCGTGGGCTACAAGGTGCTTTTCAGGCTGCGCAAAATGAGCAACACTTCCAGCATCTTCCTTGACGAAGAACGATAAGTTCAGTGATGGCCGTTAAAAAAAAAATCGGATAATCACGTGACATCAGATAAAGTTCCGCAACTGGATGATATATCCTCCAAATAATTAAATAAATTTAAATCTTGGACTAGATAACGCTTTTTCCAAATTTGCTACATGTTTAAATTCGTACAAAATTCAACTTAGAGTTAATATCCTTAAAGCGTTGTAGAGGTAACATAAGGAAAACCACTAGATCTTAAAAATCATAATAATTGACTTTTAATCCTTTCATCACTTCTCATATAAAGACAATCACACGTTTAAAAATAAGTTCTGCTTTAGAATGCAATTTTTATTGCATAAACTAGATATAAACAAAAGAAACACATCAAACAGTTATTAAGGACAACTATAAAAACAAGATAGCTAATAAAATGCCTACATGTACAGTTTAATTTCCTTATATTTAAAAAATAGAAGAAATAATAATTTCACTAGATTAACGAAACCTAAGACGAAACTGTTCTCGGCTTCGTGAATTGTGTATGCATGATATGTTGAGTAGATTCAAAATGAATAAATATTTGAAGGAGCATAGCAAATAAAAAAATATAGCAATAAATATTAATAAAATATAATTGTCTCTTTTAGCGACCTATTTGAAGCTTATTTAAATGTTTAAGTATTTCTTAGATTTTTTTTTGTGTAATAGCTTCATTTTAATAAATATATACAAGAAATATAAGGGGACGAAGAAAAAGTAAAACGCAATACCTGAATAAATTTTGATATAAAAATCAGATTTTCACATACTTCAATACAATTTAGTGATATTAGCACCGAGAAAGAAATGTCAAAACAACCGGAAAATGGTAAAATTTGCCGTGTTTCGGGCTCTATGGGAACACCAAGGAGCTCGGTAATTTTTATCGAAGTGTTTTTGGTAAGGATTTCGGTAAAATTAACATTAAAATTTGGTTTTATAACTCGGAATAAAATTTGGTAAATGTAGTAAAATTTAGTAATTTTATCATGATATCTTAGGACGCGCCATTAAAACCATTTATTCAGTAAAACTGACTTTTCTGTCTTGTATTTTTACTAAATGGGTGGTAATAAGAACTATAATTTTGGAAACCAGAATTTCCAGTAAACCGTTATCTTATGAACGAAGCATTTACCAAATGAACCGATTAAATACAGAAATTTTTTATTTTATTAATCAAAAGTGTGTTTTTTGTCATTATTGTTCAGTACGGTAATTTGAAAAGGATTTTTTTCTCCGTTTATAGTGAAAAGAAACGGCGTTGCACGCAATTGTAAAATCGTTATCCAATCATAATTTCTGGAGATACGAAATAAATTTTACAACTAATAGAAAGTTTTCATTCTTGGTTTAATAATTTTCAAAACACTTAGAGTTATTTACTATGGAATTTCAGATGTAGAAATACATTTTTAATAGAATTTGTCCATTAGTTCTTCTAAAATAAAAATTCTTAATTACAGCACTTTTTTAATTTCTTTTCTCAGAAACTATTGATTCGATTTAATTTATGTGTGTTAATAGGAAATATAACTTTTCTTCATAATATTTTTTTGGGTTGATCAGCAGCAAATTCAGAGAAATATTACACCTCAGTTTTTATAGTGTATGAGTGTCATGTTTCGGATTTTTAAGGTTATATTGAACGACCCTCGTACCATAATTAGCAAAATACAATAATGAAATTTTTTTTAAATACTTACGATAGAATTCCTGATAGATGAAAGATTTCTGCAAAAAGATACGCCATATAGCCCATTATGAATGGAAACATGGGTTCAATAACTGGAACGGAAGTTGTGTGTTTTGAGAGAAACGCAGTCAAAAATCCAAACGCTATTCCAATTAATGTTCCACCGCAGGAAACAACAAAGAAGGATGCAATTCCAGAAAAATAGTCTATTGCTAAAATGTTAGCTAAGCCCATCTCCGTGTAACCTTCGAACATATGATACAGAACCTAAATAAAAAGTAGTAACATTAGTGTATGCACCAAATATAGTGGTAACTACTTTACACCAAGGTGCTGTAGGGAAACGCTATCATTTGAATCTGTTGTTTCACTATAACTATGTTTTTTTTTTTTTTTNTTTTTTTTTTTTTTTTTTTTTTTTTTTTTTTTGCATTAATTGGTGTAAAGTAGCCAACATCAGTTTTGTTATTGAATAACACTAAAATTTATAATTACATTTACAGATTAGATACACATAAGAAACAGTAACGTTATTTTTACATTACAAAGTAAAAAATCATTAGTTTAGAATGCATTTATGCATTTATTCTTAAAATAAAATTAGTTTCTAAATCGCACATAAGCGTAGCACAGAGACGAATTCGAACTAAGCTCAACAGAACGGCAGTCGTTGTTGTTCATTAACGTCGTACTAGAGTGGCACAATGAGCTATTGGCGACGGTCTGGAAAACATCCCTGAGGATGATCCAAAGACATACCATCGCAATTTTGATCCTCTGTAGAGGAGATGGCACCCCGCTTTGGTAGCCCGACGACCTACACTCGAAGTCGAGCACTTTACAGTAGAACAGTTTAACGAGAACCCATACCGCACACCCTCGGTCCCTACGAAAACTGGTCCAAGTGGCCACCCACCCGCACTCTGACCTCAGCCAATGATGCGTGACTTCGGTGATCTGCAGAGAATCATTACACTAATTAAGCAATATTGAACAGTGTGCAAAATAAGAAGAGGAAAACCCTAATTAACTTTTGATCTAATAATCGGATCTTCGCGTTCTAGGACTTAATCTTCATGACTCGAGGGAGTTACTTCAAATATGCTAATTGATAAGAGTAGACGATATTTTAAGTTACGAAATCAGACACAAAAACGTACTTTTTCTTATTAAAAACACATTTTTTTCGACGGATTAGGATTTTTTATCCCGAAAATACCGCAATCTGGGAAGTAAGTAAAAAATCCCAACAGTTCAATGAGCAGAATTTGGACTCCTTAATGTTAATTCTACTTTTTGCGTATTTCGCCATATCTCCGTAAAGTTTCAAGCAAATTGAAATATTTTTGCACACAATTTAAACGCGCAAAACGTTTAGCTAAAAATAAATGCCACTTAAAAAAATAAATTTAATAAGCATTTATTATTTTTAATATTTTATTTTGAATTGTAAGGTACAAGATTTTTTACATTATTTTAAATTATTTAATTTTACATGGCGAAATACAAAACTTGAGTGAAATCGGTTGAATAGTTCATGAGAAAATCAAATTTTAGAAATAAAATTTTTTCAGCATTTCACCACTTTTTCATTTGCCCCCAAGAAGGCAAATTTCTCCCAATACTTGATCTAGAAGTTCCCTTGTCTTCCATATTGAGTTTCAACTTACAAGGCTACGAAGTTGTACATTAGTAGTCGTAAACCCAAAATTGGATCAGCTGTTCAACGATGGTTACAAAAGTAATAACAACAGTTATTAGAAGAAAAGAAATAATAGTTTTATAAAATGTTTAAATTTAAAATTTTTTTCTAAAATATTATGTAAAAAATTTGTCAAAATTTTTTATTAAGTTATTAAACGCACAAAAAATTTAAAAAATACAGGGTTTAGGGAATTTCAAAAATGTTTCCCATACAGTGTTATTTAATTGTTATTTAAAATAAAAATAAATAGGTTACGATGCAATAAATGATAATTATTAAAGAAAAGTTATTATTAAAAATCATTAAGGAAAAGATCTAACCTGTTTAAAATTTAAAAAAAATAACTCTGCTTTAAAGTAAATTTTTTATCCGACACTAAGCCCAGCTTTTCCGTTTACGTGGTATAATTAAATATGTTTTCTCTGTTATATGTTTATGAGTTCTTTTTAGCATTCCTGCTTTATAATGTTGTCTGACATCGAAGTACAATAAATTACAGGACTTATTTGACTTTATAAAACATTTAATGAAGTCGTTCCTTCGATTGTGATCTTCAAAAACGCAAGCAAATGTCAAACTTAGTCAAACTTAGGAGTAAACATGACCTTCAAGAAATAGATTTATAGCTTTCTTTCGAAGCTTCTTCATCCATACAAAATAAAAATAGCACAGTTTGAGAGCTATTAATTCCGTAAAGCTTATATAAACCGTAAAGCTTATTCCGTAAAGCTTATATATATATATATATAATAAATAAATAAATACAAGGAAACACGAAGAAAATTAAGAAAAACATCAAGTTTCATTAATTGCGCTTAAGCTGCAAGTAAACAGAACTCATTAGATAAGTTCAAAATAAAGATAAAACAAAGAAAAATTATAGACACATGAAAAAAAAGGGGGGGGGAATAATAATAAGTAAAAAAATAACAAACAACAGTTTAAAAAAAAAAGCACTCTGTTTTGCGGATATAATCGTGTGGGCTGATGAAAAGATCTTTCTTTTTTCCGGTTTTTTTTAAATAAAATTTCATCTTTTTTTTCTTCTTTTTTCTTTTTTTTTAAACTGTTGTTTGTTATTTTTTTACTTATTATTTCCCTCCCTTTTTTCAAATGTCTATAATTTTTCTTNGTGGACAGCACGAATATTGTATTAATATAGCCAAAGCAAAATATATCAATACAACAGTGTGAGGAGCACTCAAAAAAATTTAAACGAAATTGGAACACATTAAGTAAAAAATATGTACGGAAAAGCATTATTAATAAAACTTATTAATAAATAAAAAAAAATTTTAAAAAAAATTTAAGCAGCTTTAGCGCTTGATATTATAAACTATTACCTTACTTCTGTTTTCTTTTTGTTTCCGTTTTTCGTTCGGTTTTGTTTTTATTGTGCTATATATATATATACGTTACAGTGAATAACAGAAATCAAGAGAATGTCGCCTTTCACAGGTGAATGTCAGCAATCGCATAGTCGCATATTTGTTATATCCGATTTGATATTAGTTTTTACGTTGATATTATTATATTTATTCGATCTTTCAATATCTGCTGCTGAGGATAGATTAGGAAAAACATCTGTGTTCGGAGTACCGGTTAAATGCATACAGTGGCACGATCCTTAAAAAAACATTGATATAGGGCATACCGGGAAAATGTGTATCGGGGCAGTGGCACTTAACTAGACCTAGTATACATTTCAGACATTTACCGAAGCGACTATATGCCTGCCAACAATCATCGGTGAAAGTCAGCAACCACCAATTTCGGTCACTCACGTTAATATATATATATACACATGTAAAATATTTTTTTTAAAAATTAAAACATCAGCCATCTGGCCAGGAACAGAGAATCTCAGGGGCAGAAGAGAAAACTGCCCAGGGCTCAACATTTTAAGGACTCTTAAATCTCATAGCATACATTTTAATTTTTCAACTTTTTGTACTCTAAATTTTATTTTTTAATTCTTTTAAGAATGATTTTAGGTGGCTGCTTTTTATAGATATTTATACCTTAAATGATTGAAGTTAATATTAATCATAATTTATTGAAATGCAGCTTTGCAATTTTCCAAATAATTCAAATTATTATTTATATAAATTTGTTTTTAAATAATCCTTATAGAATTTAGTTGATAACATTCATTTTTTTTATTTAATAAAAAAACATACTATACTTTTTTAGAAAAAATATATAATATTGCTTTTATTAAAGCATCTTTTTTCAAATATACTTGAATTAAAAAGTAATTTTTGGTATTAGACAATATTTTTAGCAACATTCTCCCCTTCCTAAATGCTATAAAATTGTACTTAATTCCAATATCTTGTGTTAAGATGAAATTTCAGGGGATCCAAATGCCAAAAGATTGAGATGATGATCACTAAATTGAACAATTATACCCTTATTTAGAACAATTATACCCTCAACTTTCTTAAGAGATAAAGCAGAGCTGTGATTTCAAAGACATTACAACCATCACACAGTAATTTGTTTAATATAATAATCTTTTTTCGGAAAAATTATTCCAATTTCCTTATTAATATAGATAATAAAAATATGAATATAATATTTAAGTGTGAAAGGACTTCATAAAAAATGTTTTCTAACGTTTTCTAAAAAGTTCTTTTATGTGTTCTTTACTGTTCTGAAATAACTTTCCCCTTTTTTTTGCTGTTTGTTCCATAATCAATTGGAATCAATAACTTTACTGTGATGATAAAATATAAATAGACTTGATAAAACAATAATACAAGTTTTTTAGTGCAATAACAGTATAAGTGGATCAATAAATCGAATAAAACATAAAAAACAGCATTGACACTTTTTGTCTGTTAAGAGCGATTCTTAAAGCTTTTGTCAGTCTTTAGGAATTGAATTAAACTTAATCAATTTATTATGCAAATTAGCTATAGTTATTAGCCAATGAAAGGATATAAAAGTTTTAACGTACTATGCTAACAATACATAAAATATGCAATTTTGGTTCGAATTAATTTCACTTCGGTCGTGGTGCATTTCCTTTGCAGACATTTCAACTTATTTTGGATGTATAAATCCTCTAGTAATTTTTAAATTGTCTTACAATTGTATTAATTATTATTACATTTTGCATAAATGTATTCTTTTTTATTTTCTGAAATAAATAAATTAATGAAAAAAACAAACACATATTTAAAAATTATTATTAATTCAACTTATATCAAAGATATAATTTATTTTATTTCTAAAAATTAATAAAATCTTATTAACATTTTTTATTTAAAATAAGATTATAGAGAAAATTTTTTTTTGTTAATTATTGTGCAGTAACTAAATAGCCTTATCACTATTATTTTTAGTCAATTATTACTTTTAAGTAAAATCAATAATTTATTTTTTTATTTTTTTAAAAAAATAAATAATTTAATGCATTTAAGTAATTTCTTTTTTTAAATAATTTCTTTTTAAAGTAATTTCTCTTTCTAGATAAATTATATTTAATGCAATTTATAATAAACACATAATTCATTTTATTTCTAAGAATTAATAACGCCTTAAAGACTTTTGCTTA